AGAAGAAGAAGAAGAAGAAGAAGAAGAAGAAGAAGAAGAAGAAGAAGAAGAAGAAGAAGAAGAAGAAGAAGAAGAAGAAGAAGAAGAAGAAGCTACAAGTTTTTGAAAAAGTATACAAAGTTTTAGTTATAATGTTTGTTAGTTCAACCTTAAATCTGTGCAAGTAGAAGAAATCTTCTATTTCTTTTTATTTTCCCTACTACCATTTTTTTCTTTTTTTCTTTTTTCTATTTTATTCTATTCTATGACATAGTGTGTCATGAAGCTATCCTTCTCTTTCCTTCTATCTCTATCTCTGTCTCGCGTGACGGCGCGTACCAATCCGACAGCTGTCCATGTCAAATCCGTACCGCGTCACAAACAACTAACAAAACAGATAAAGAGAGAAAGAGAGAGAGAGAGAGAGAGTAAGTGACCAACGTCTCAATAATTCGGTGAGACAAGGACGGAAAGAAGTTACGCGCGACGTCAGCGAAATTGAAAATTGCACTCTCAGCACGAGAATCCTTTTCGGCCATTAAGCCACTTCCTTCTTTTCCCATCCTCTCACCCCCAACCCTCTTACTCTCACCCCCTCCCCACAACCACAAACACCACTACAATTCACCGCTTCCCCTTCTACAAACCTTTACACCTCTTCATCTTCTTATTTTCTTCCTCTCTTCTTTATCATCTTTATCTTCCCTCCCTCTCCTCCTCTCCCTCTCTTCCTCCACCCGCTTCTTCCACTTTATCCTTCAGTTTACACTTTCTGTTTCTGTTTTCTCTACTACTCGTTTGTTTTTGTTCCCTTTTTCCTCGTACCTTTTGTCGGCACTCGTGTAACACATCGAAAGGGTGGTTTCCAAAGTGGGTGGGCATCGCTTAGGGTTCGAGTCACTGGATAAAGAAAATATATTCTTTGGATTGTTTTTTATCATCTGCAACTTGCGTCGTTCTTCTCGACGAAGGCTTTTGTTTCGCTTCGACGATTCTGATGACCCTGGAATGCTTTATAGAGTCCAGTCGAAGGTGAAAACTTTTATGGGATCATAGAGAAAAAAGATTTATTTTCGATCTGGGTGATGGGTAAGTCCTTCGGACAAATTTCTTCTTTTTCGAAAGGCTATTTTTTTTCATATTTTAATTCGTTCATTTGGTAAAAATTGTAAACTTGCAATTGGGATATGCAGAATTATTTTCAATGTGCGTTATATATTAAAAGATTTTTGAATATTTTCTTTTTATACAATATATAAAATTTAGTTGATTTTTATCTCACAATATTTTTGTAATTTTCCTTTTAGTTTAACACGAATGCAAAAATAAGCAAAAAATTGTTATTTTTTTTGCAATATTGCAATAATTCCTTTTTAAATTTGACACAAGAAGAGTAATATTTTTTTTATTCAACAAAAATACGATAATTGAATATTTTCAATTTATTCGAATACCAAATTTGCGTTGAAGTTCAATAAAAAGAGCAATTTAATTTTTATTTAAATCTTACCACGGTAGAGCAATTTGTCGTTGGTATATTTTATTTCGTACATTGTCGTTTAGATATGTTTATACAGTAGAATTACAGTGTTTCAGTAATCGTATTGCAGGAGACAGAAAATCAAGGGAAAAGACAAATAACTTAAGAAGTAACAAGGAGAATTTAGAAGAGGATAGAGTATTATCACCGATCGAAGAAGAATCGGAATCCTCGACAGAACAGTTGGTGGATTACACTACCAACGATCCCGAAGAAGATTCTTTTTATCAGACGACACGTATTCGATACAACAAGGATTGTCTGAGTTCTTTGCCGAAGAATTACGATCGTAATCGTCCTTTCGACAACTCGTCCTTTCGTTCCAACGAACCGAACAATGTCAAGAATTCGTCCTCTGGGGAAAGTAGTTCTGGCGACGAACGAAATACCGCTGAAACAAATTGTTGCTATCAAATTTGCGATAGATCGAAATTAGGTAAAAATTTTATTAACGGGCTGGAAACTATTTGTAATAAGGGGGAGGTAGCAGGGAGAAAAATTCGTAGTATTTATCATCTTTTAATTTTACTTAAATTATCCTTAATTTAAATTAAATTAAAAGTACATTGACAAAAGAAAAACCATACTTTTTACGTTTATTGAATTTTTATAATTCTTTTCTTACCCTCTCCTTAAAAGCACAAAAAATATCAATTCTAGAAAAATATTGGAAGAATAATTTTACATTATATAAAACATTAAATACCAATATTATTATTTTTTATATAATATATTATAAGCTGTTTTTTCCTGGAGACAGAAAATTATATTTTGCAAGAGAATGGGGGGAACATTTGTAGTTCAATCATTTTCTTTCTGTGTCTATAAATCTTAACAAATTATACAATTACGAAGCTACGAATAATAAAAATAAAAATAAAATAAAATATATTTGAAAGCATTGGAAACACTTTCTCGGTTAGAAACGGAAGCATCCGGTGATAATGATGAACCAAGATGTACAAGTCCACGAGAAGAGAACTTGTCGAAGACTTTGAAGTGGTTAGAAAGTAGATTGTCGCAATGCGAAACGGACATAGTCGCTTTGAGAAAACAATTCGGTCTGGAAAAGTTTCAAAATCGACGGTACGCCTTGCAGTGTTACGAGAAACACGCTCAGACACAGAACATACTGAAAAACGATCTACACGTGTGGAAGAACAACTTAGACGCGAGAATCAAGGCGCAAATCGTCAGATGGCAACTGGATGAGAGGAAGAGGATCAGTGAAGAAATTGCCAAGGTTACTGGAATGTTTTCCCAGGTTAAATCAAACTTCTATATTAATATTTTTAATCAAATAAATCATTTTGATTAACGTATCGAATTAATTTAATTAACAGACTAATTTATAATTTGTTTTGAATAGTCATTGAAGCGTGTTTTTTTTTGCCACGATCAATCAACTTCTATTAATATCTTAATTTTAATGAATTATTTTAATCAACTACGAATTCTAAACAATAATACGAATTTGTTGTTTAATTGTAAGAACAATTTTTTAGGAAATGACGAAGAATTTACAAAAGAGTATGAACGAGTGGCAAGAAAAAGATTCTCAAAAGATTACTGAATTGATAAAAAATGAAAGAATTCGTCAAGACGTTGAAATGCAAAATACTAGAAAAGTTTATGAAAAGATACAAAGACATTTGCAGAATTTGGATAAACGTAATCGAAATTCTTATGTGAATTTTCGCAAACAAATGAATGTTTGGGAGGAACGTTTGAAGGAGGAAGTTATTCGACTGCATGAGAATAATTTGAAGGAATTTCGACAACAGCCTAAATTTTGGTAAACATTCTATACATTACTTTTTTTATTCTAATACAATGATTAATATTTAGATTTGTTTATCCATTTTATATTATATCTATTTATGCATCCTAATATTTATTCAATTCTGACGCTATTTTACTATAATTAAAATTACTATAAAATTATTATTATAATATTCATGCATAGTAATTAATTTTTCGTTAACATAATACTGATTCTAAATTATTTTAAAATACCGACCAAACAAATGAAAATGATTTATTTAAGGCATAGCGATCAAGACGGGATGAAACACAATTCAGTAAAGTCACCCGTTAGAACAGAATTGTCGATGGAAATCCAAAGAAGATCGCAGGATCAAGAATACAATTTTATTAAGGACAATGAGTTTATAAATTATCAAGAAATGAATGCAAAGGATATGCGTAGATTGGAACAACTTTTTAAATGTAAACTTAAAAATCAACGAGACGAGTTTATTAAACTTTTAACAGCAAAATTTGCCAAACTCTGGGAAGCTTTCGAACAATTTAAATATAATTTTCAATTGGATCGAAGATATCGGGAATACGAACCAGAAATGTTGACATCCTCGGTGATGACAGATCAAATTGAAGAAGATGTAACAGATGCTAACGATACTAATCAAGACGACGGAAGAAAAACAAAAATTTTTGGAAAAAGATAATCAAATCATTTGTTAATTTTTTTTAGATTGTTAAAAAGGAAAATTTTTATATATAATAATATAATAATAATATAATAAATTTTATTTTATTTTATTCTTTTAAAAATTTTTTTAATAAATTACACTAATAAATTTTATTGTTATTTTAAAAAATTCGTTAGTTTAATTTTATATAAAAGAAACTACTTTACACCTAATTTTGTTCCTGATTCGTTATAATAATTCTGTGTTATTTTATTTTATTATTGTTTAATAGTTAAGATATTTTGAAAAGATGAGTTTATCCTTTTTGTTTATTCTTTTTGTCTATCAGTTATCATTACCGTGCGTGTACAAATTCTTTCTCGTGTTTTTCGTGTTCACGGAGGATGTCCAAGGTGACGTCAGCGGTTCGCGACGCGTGCAACGTCCTTTCGTCCGAATGTAATGCATTGCATTGCACGATCCGGTACGATTTTCATCAAGGAATCGCCGTCTATGTACTTCCGTAAAGCAAACGTATATTATATAGGTTTATATATATACCTAGAAGATACATTTACTATCTACTAATCTAATACATACTTCTCCGCTCACATATTCCTGAATCATGTTCATTTAAATTTCATTACTCAAATGTTACAACAATTTTAGATTTTATTATGTTTACAGGAATTTTCAATATTTCATTATTTTTTTTTTTCAAATAATTATTATCGTTCATTAAGTAATATATTATAATTGAAACATTTTTATTATTTTTATATGAAAACTATGCTGTGGTTCAAATTTCTTTAGAATATCTCAACAATGATTTATTGTAAATCTTAAAATTGTAATTTTTGACTTTTTTTCGACAATAAAATAGAATTAATTAATAATTATTATTCATTTAATTTTTATCATATTCCACAATAATTAATTGTTCAATTTTAAAATTATTTTATATCCAAATAATCGTTATTAATATTATATTTTTTATTTAAATTTGAATTGAATAAAAATATTGGACATCTTTAATTGTAACATTCAAAATTTCTTATTGATTATAAACAAAACAAGAAAAAGATCAAATAATTAATAAACAAAAAAAACATATATAATTTACGATCTCGATAGTTCTTGATCAGAATAAGTAAATCGAAGGCGATAACGTTAGGTTAACGCAAGTAGAGCAGGAACGGCAGAACGAAAAGACATTCTCTCGGTATTCGTCGTAGTGTTTGTGTTTTCTGAACAGACCAGAGGGACAAGCGCGTCCAATCAGATTCTTCGTGGGAAGTTGTACCTTCTGCCACTACTTCTGTACTAAACCTGACACTCGATGTTATTTCGTAGTTGAACCGATAAGGAGAGAAAATATTTTTATCGTCCTTATAAAACATATTACAATGAGACACATAAATTACAACATATAACGTTACAGATTACTATCGTTTAACTAGGATATTAATATTTACATTATAAATTAGAATTAAATAAATATATTATGAACAATTGTTTCATTAGTATATACAAAATTTATTTTTGTTATTTATTTGTTTATTAAAAATTTATTTATTAAATCTTTCACAAATTAAATGATTCAATCTATATAAAGAAAAGGATGGATATATTTTATATGATAAAATAATATTTTTGATAATTTAGTAAAATTAATAATAATATTTTGTAAATACTATTTTTATTTTGTTTAAGTATCGAAAATATTAAATTATATAAATATGTAATGTGTTAAAATTTATTTTTTGAAATATTCAGATATTTTAAACGAATTGATACAAAAATATATGTATAAAAGATTGAACGTTTAACAAAAACACATTTTAATGTTAATTACACACACTAAAAATAAATAAATCGATTAGTGACGAATTAAATGGTTCACCCATTACAGAAAGTATAAATTATAAGTATATATATATATATATGGTATAAAATTACGTATTGTGTATGGTAGAATTCAATGGTTGATTACATCTTTTATTCCCATTTATATACCTCGATCGTATCTTACTGAAAGGTTTTCTTCAACGTTCTTTAGAATTATAATCTACCTTCTCTGATTTTCTTTTTTTTTTATCTTGACGTGTATCACAATCAGTGTAATAGACAGAATAGAAGATTACGTAAATCGTTCGAATAGATTTTCTGAATCGTTAGAGAAAGAAGTTAGGTCCTACCGATTGATCTTAGATCGCGTGACAATAAAGGAACGGAACGAAATCATCCTTCTTTTGCAAAAGACGTTAACGAAGAATAGTTCCTTTTTTGGTCATTCCTTTTATTTATATTTTCTTTTCTTTTTTTTCTTTTAACGAGACTAACAAAACGAAAAGAGAATAAAATTCGTCTTTCTTAGAACACTTTCTTTCGTGGGAATCTGCTTTATTCTATTCGTAACAGGACAAAGCGTGGCCGAGGGATATTAAATTGAAAAAGATCTGCTTTTTAAATAATTTACTGTTATAATAATAATTGTTAAGTTTGTTACGAATTAAAAATTGTATATTATATTTTTGATGTCTCGATATTTACAAAATTGTTAATGAGAAACTAATTTGACAAATTTCTATGAAAAATAATTCATCCCCATTTTTATCATTTCAATCTCCATTTACTCAAACAATTATTATTTAATATAGTGTTAACCTTTGTTTTTTATCCAATCTAATAAATCTTATCATCGCTTGTTCATAATTTGGTCTGCCGAAGTTCTTTACCTTCCAATTCAAGCATTAAAGTCTCCACCTATAGGGTAAATGTTCCTCTTCCAGTTCATGTAACAGTTTATGTGTTTATATTCTAAATATATTAGCTAATTATTTATTATCAATAATTAATTATCTTCAAACTTAATCGGTTCACGGAACCTTTACAAGTGTCAAAATATTTTATGTAACCCTTTTTCGTAAAAAAAAAAACACCTTTTCAATGTTTCATATTTTCGTGTTCTACTTTTTATGCTATTTGAAATAATCATAAAAATAATTGCCAACACTATTTACTTATGTTACATGAAATTTTTCAAACACAACAAATGATATTGATACAATGTAATAATATTATTTTTAAAAATATCATTCGTGGAATTTAGGAATGTTACGTGTTATTACGAAGATTTTGTGAAATACAGTTTTAAGACAGCAATAGCTTTATAATAATTTATAATAATAAAAATATTCATTTTTATATTACCATAATATTCTGTTTCTAAGAATTTAATATAATGACTTAAAAAAATTTTATAGAAACTTAAAATATTCATTTATCTTACCACAATATATCCTGTTACTAAGAATTTATCTAATGATTTCAAAATTTTGGTTGATAGTGTACATATTGGTATTTATACGCATAGTATTACGGAATAGCTAATTAGTAAGAATCCCGTCGATCGGGAATAATCTTAATTATTCAAAGGCACCGTTCGTTGGTTCGTTCGTTTGTTCATTCCTTGGTTCATCCGATTCCGTATCAATGGCCGTGAGGATCGCATAGAAGCGTATAGCCACGCTCGAAAGGAAGGCAGAAAGATCTAGAAAGGAGCCGTTATGCGAAACATCTCGATTACTCGCGAGAGAATCTGTCCACCACTGGTACGAAGATGTCTCAACCGCGAAACGATAAATTCTGTCTTGAGATCGTGCGTATCTACAACTTATACGATAACTGTGTGTGTATCAAAGAGAGAGAGAAAGAGAGAGAGAAAGAGAGAGAGAGAGAGAGAAAAGGTGAGAGAAAGAGACGTTCTCTAACTTCGAAAGTAGGCCATCGTGTGATTATCTACAAGACAGGATTACATCGATAAATATAAAATTTAACATTACTTTTTAAATCCTTGACATTTATGTAACACGATTTTACTTATTTTTTATATCGATTTATGAAAGTTTATATAGAAGAGTACTATATATATACTCTTATATATAATACTATATACTATATACTATATACTACTTATATATAAGAGTAGGGAGTATTTACTAAATTATATTTAATTAAATTCTTTTTTGAAAATTATAAATATAAAATTAAATATTACTTGAGTAACATAATTTTACTGTTTTTTTATATCAATTTATGAATATTTGTCTAGAAGATGGGCATATTTACTAAATCATATAATTAAATTATTTCTCTTGAAAAACAAAGATTATAAATAATAGGATTTAATATTACTTTTAATAGTTAATATTTATGAAACATGAATTTACTTATTTCATCTAAAAGATGGGCGTATATTTATTAAATTATATTTAATTAAATTCTTTTTTGAAAATTATAAATTATAAGATTTAATATTACTTTTAATCATTGATATTTATGTAACATGGTTTTACTTATTTTTATTTCGATTTATGAATGTTTGTCTAATAGATGAGAATGTTTATTTAATCAAATACTTAATTTTTAGAAAAATATAATAATTATATATTTCACGCTGTTGGAATTAAAGAAACAACCGGAATAACATACGACGAACCATAATATTTCACCACGAATGTCGAACTATGACTGACACGCGTACATACGACGCAGCTAATAACAGCGAATGCTTACATTTAGTGTCTAAATAAACTTTGTTTATATTTATATTTAGAAATCATTTCTCTCTCTCTCTCTCTCTCTCTCTCTCTCTCTATGTTTCGTTTTATTTAACGTATAGGAATGAAATTTATTGTTTTCATTAGGATCATAGAATGATTGTATTTTATTCCAAATATATTTTAATAACGTGTGTATAGAATAAATTATTAATTCGATAACTAATAAATAATTTAAATAAATTAACAATAACAAATATAAATCGATCGATTGAAATAACGAAAGAACAAACGTTTCCTTAAAGAAAAAAAGATAAGACGAGATTAACTAATTATAAAATGTTTAATTAAGAGGAATGAAAAAATCCAATATTTTTTTAATACTTATCCTTAATTATAATAATTACAAATTCCATAATTACTAATAATAATCAATTTCCTCAGAATGTTTTTTGTTCCCCCCCCCCGGATTTTGTAGTTCATTGCTATTTCGATTCATTAATTATTCTTTTTAAATTTCTATTTAACGGAACTTAACGTCAATTCGAAAATATTAGTGTTTGTTCGTAGTCTTTTTAAAGAGAAGTTACGTCTTCCTTTCAACGAAATAGAAAACGTATAATAGTATGAGAAAGGTTGTACGAGAAAGAAACAGAAGAAAAATAAGAAGAAGAAGAAGAAGAAGAAGAAGAAGAAGAAGAAGAAGAAGAAGAAGAAGAAGAAGAAGAAGAAGAAGAAGAAGAAGAANAAGAAGAAGAAGAAGAAGAAGAAGAAGAAGAAGAAGAAGAAACCATCGGACTAGTACATGTGTTATCGGATATAAGTTTGCGTGGAAAAAATGTTAAGCGTTCCATACAGTTGTCGGTACTTGGTAATTAACTTGTTCGGGGCTGTCGCTCGATTCATCTAAATCTGAGCGTAGAAGCGTACCATGCACGTCGTTTACTTCTAACGTTTCTTCCTTCTCACAACTCAACTACCCGTTTTGCGACTATCCGTTCGATACAAAGAAAGAAATAAAAAGAAACAGAGAGAGACAGAGAAGTAGAAAGAGAGAAAGACATAAAAAGGAACGAGATTCAATATTTATTGGATTAGATTCGTACCCTTATTTCATAAAAAGAGAATTAAAATACAATATTTTATCTGAAAACTTTATCTTAATTAATATCACAGTAGTAATTATGAAATTAATTAGGTGGTTATATGAAGTACTATATTCTGAGAAGAGAGAGAAAGAGGTGAGAACGATAAAAGTAATTGTAATTAATTGTAATTGAAATTTGGCGTAAGATTTAATAATAATTAAACGTTAATTGGTTATATTTGTATTTGGTAATATGCATTATATGCAATTTGATATTATCATTTGTCATACATTGTGTATTATTTTAATTTGTAATTTCAAAAAAATATTTGCCCATAATTATGAAAGTTGTCTAACCGTAAGTCCACCAATATATATTTTCTTTCCTGATATGTAAAGAATTACATTTGAACACTAAATGAATTCTATATAATATTGAAATAACAAATACTATCAAACAGTTCATTTTTGACAATATCGTGAAAATTACATTAAATTAATAAAATTTAAAATAATGTAGTGTGAAATAACTGATAAACTCATTTTTTTTCAATTTTGACTTTAGACCACTTTCATAATTTTAGGCACATATATGAATTGTTATTTTTTATTTGACAAAGTTAAAAAGAATTATTATAAAGATCAGGTGTATCGTAAATGTAGTCAAATACTTCAGTTACACTTAAAGTATGTGCGATTTAGTGTGTCGTGTCTAGCAACGAACACAAGATCCGTATTAGTGTTTACGCACGCGTCACATAACGCATGACGTATGTTGAGTACACGCGAACCAGCCTTCACAATTTACTTAATTACGAGCAGACCGTTAACGTTAAAGTACCGTTTGCAACTTTCAATGTCGACCGACTGTTGTACGTGATTATTATATAAGGGGATGGGGTAGATGACATAGACGATCTAAGAAGTTGTTTTATCGTTTCGCAAAATTTATAACTAAATTTTCTTTGATTTACATTTGCCCTTATTTTTTTTCATCTTAATGATTCATTCAAATTTATTTGAATATTATTATTATTATACAAAATTTATTATCATATTCATTTTCAGTAATATTTGTTTTTTCGATTTGTTTGATATTATTTCAAATTATTTTGTTGTTGTTTTATATTTCAATAATAATTGGTTATTGGATATTGTGGAATTTTGTGCGTAATTTTATATATAATAATAATTTAAAGTAATTAAATTACTTTTCAAAGAATCTAATATTACGTGTAATTAAATTCATAATTTTACATTTAATACTACACAGTAGTTAAAAAATAATATTACATGTTATACAAAATTACATATTCTTCAAATAAAAAGCATACACTTAAAATAATGCAAAAAAAAAAAAAAAAGAATAAAGGAACAATACTATAAATTTCTTACAGAAACAAAATAATTATTTGCTTACAATTAATATTATAAGTACGCGAGTACTCTACAATAGATGGTAAAAGCAAATGAACAATCATAGATTGCAAAGAAGAGAAGACGATCTCTCAACGTGGGATGTGCTGATATTTATAAAAACAAAATATATAAATAAAAAAAATAATAAAAAGGAAACTGTCGAGACAGTCTTAAATCGATTGAAAAATGTTTCCAACAGAATACTTAATTTGGATTATGCATAAAACATATATGCATATACAGGGTGGGTCACCACATTTTACCACCTTGATTTACGTTTTTATTATTATGCGTAGCAGACAATGTTTCACATGGAGTTGAATGGCTTTAAAAGGGGCTCATACTGATTGTACTTTTTTTTTTTAGGTGGACATGTCAAGGACATATGAAGGTCATTAATGTTTTTTTCAATGGAATCATATATTTTTTATTRCATCATCTGATGCTCTTTCATATTATTTACAAAAAAGTATTAACTTATTTATGTAAAAAAATTATTACTTTAGGAGATATTTTAATTTTTGTCTATTTACAAAAAAGGTTCAATTTGGCGACCATTTGCATCAGAACATTTT